ATTTGGATGTCAGTGAGAGCTCAGAGAGCAAAAACTGTGACTGCAGCTGGCACAGGAAAGACTAAAGTCCATGGATGCAGAGAATTTCTGATACGCTCTGACAAGCGACATCCAAGAAATTCACGTTACCACTAAACTGGCTCCTGGAAGTCCTGGAAGAAGGATGAGCACAGCGGTGTTCCTTCGGTTATTCTAGCCTCACATGATTTACTCTCTGTGTCCCCAAAACTCATAATGTGCACGTGACAATCTTAACTATCAAAGATCATGTTGCCAAGTATGTTTCTCTCTGCAATATTTTGATTAAAATTCTCCCAGAACAAAGATCTGTTTCACCAAAATTCTAAGTTAGGCATTGTTCATTAAAATATTTTAAAACGTTGTTTATAATAATACACATTAAATACTTACAAAGCAAAGCCACAGAACTACAGATTTCTTTTTGTTTGCTTGGTTGGTTGATTGTCGTTGGTATCAGGTTGTCTTTATTGCAAAGGTTGGGAGCAACCACCCTAACCAAAATATCACAGCGAAAGTGGGCAATTGATGAGATATGAGACAGAAAATAACCATAAAAGAAGCAGTAGTCAGTAATAGTTGAGGATCTTCATGACCAAGAATTTGTTATTTTCCCACCTAAAACCAAGTATATTTATTTCCTAGAACTGCCATAACAATTTACCACAGGACTGGTAAAAACCACAAAAATGTATTATCTCATGGTTCTAGAGGCCAGAGGGGAAAGTCAAGGTTTCAGTAGGGTTGGTTCCCTCTCGAAGCTCTGAGGAAGAGTCTGTTCCAGGCCTTTCTTGCAGCAACACTTAGCACCCCTTCACCTCTTCACTTAGGTCTGCATAACATCCCTTTGCTTTGGTCTGCTTCTGTCTTCACCTAATCCCTTTCTCTGTGTCTCAAACCATTCTCTTACAAGGACACAAGTTATTGGATCAAGAGCCCACCCTAAATCCAGGATGATCCCAAGATCCTTAACTACTTACATCTGGAAGGACCCTATTTCCAAATACATTCACATTCTCAGGGACTCACAGGGCTGAGGACTGGGATATATCTTTTAGGGGGACACAAATTCAACTTACTATACCAAAGAATCTTAAAATTTCATACATGCTAGCTACTGACGCTTTTGGTAGATGATGACAGGAGATCACGCAAAGTATAAAGCATTTTTTTTCTTACACATAGTCTCAGTAGATACTTCTGTATTTTTAAAAAACTGCACATCATAAATTCTTAGCACTGCAGATCTGAACAATAAACACGGGGAGTATATGTAGCCACAGAACTGAAATAGAGTTGGTGCAGACTGTGTAGCTGAAACAGAAAGTTAAGATATTTTAGGGACTTAACTTTGAGAAATTATAGACACAAACCAGAAACTCCCAGTAATCATCTCTGAAATGAGCTGTGCCCAGGCCAGTCCTGGAAGGTGTGGGCTAGTGTGGGATGGAAAAACAGGATGAAGACAGATGTCTCCTTAGTCACTGCTGCTTAAGGGTGTTCCTCGTTCTTGAAGGAAACAGGCTGAGTATCACCCACCACGTGTTGGAGCTATGACTGAATTGTTTAAGATATGCTGTCTATATTTGTTCTCAAATTACCACTTTGTGAGTTTTCAAAAATTTATAGTTCATCTAGTGGTATGTAGCCAACTCTGCTAAACTAAGGTTTTTATGTTTACATAAAGTCCTAAAAAAGTGGGAAAAAAGGCTCTTAATGAGGTGCTAAGAAAAATGGTATCTAAGCTGGGTAGACCAACTGATACTTGCATCCAGAAAAGGGAGACTGCTTGATGCCCAAATATGGAAGTTCTTGTTTGGATCCAACACCCCTTTATATATCCTAAGACTTTGAAAGCCAGGGGCCAAGGTACGGTGATGTGGCCTTTGTCCATATATCGAACTTCATGAGTATTTTCCATGTCTTCAGAATAGAAAGAATATTGTCACCTAAAATCTAGAATTATACATTCAAAGGTGTAAATATTTTGTCAGTTTGTTCACCTTACTTATTGATATTATACAGTCCTTGGTAAATTTACAGTCCTTAGATTTACTAAACAGATTAACCCTGCCTTTCCAGAAAGGACCCAGTCTTATTCTTCTTTGGCATCTCCTGTGATGCCTAGCACAGTTCCTGGGGTATAGTGAATCCAAGATCAATGGTAAACTACCAGATTGCCTGATAATTCATACGAACGGCCTAGTCCTTCTTATAGAGATGACCACCTGCAAGTGTGATGATCTGAGGGGATTTATGTTAGAGAAACACTGCTCAACATTCTTCCCACTGAAGCAACAATTAAGCCTGAGTTTGGGAAACACCTAAGTGTGCTGGTACATTCTATGCCTCAATCTCCTCACCTGCTGTACATGCTTCAGAGGGTTGTTGTGAGGTTTAAATAAATTAATAGTTGAAAAGTGTCCAGAAGAATGTCTGGCATATTGAAAGTTCTATATAAGCATTTTTCTTAGCAGTAGTGTTCACATTACTCTCTTTCACTAGCCTTCCAGAAATGGATTTGTTCAAACAAGAAAACATAATAATATATCTTTCATCTGCATTGCTGGGGAACAGTGTCTTCCAGATCATTGTAATTACTTCCTTTAAGTTGTCAGTCAGTCAATCCATCAGTGAGTATTTATTGGGCACCTACTGAATGCCAGTGACTGTTCTCCAGCAATACAGTAACACAGTAGTGGAGAAGAAATGATCTCTGGCCTTCAATAAGCTTAAACTCCAGTGGGAAAAGAAACAAATAAATACATCAATAAAAAGTTATATACTTTCAGATAGTATGTAGCATGAGGAAAATAAAACCATGTAACTTGTGACATGGAGTGCCTACCTGAATGGTGGTGGATGGGAGAGCTAATTTGAGCTAAGACGGTCATTAAAGGCAACAAGAAGAAAACCCGAGCTGAGACCAGAATAATGAAGTAGTCACTTGTAGCTCTGAGCAGACTTTCCAAGTAGAAGAAGTAGTAACTACAACATGTGAACATCCTGCCATGGGAACAAATGCTCAAGGTTAGCACATGAAGTCATTTCTTGAACGCGATCAGCTATAATCCAGTGGACAGGGATGGACCAAAGATGGGGAAGAGGAAGAAGATCCCTGGAGGAGCGGTCTTTTTGCAGGTAGCATGGGGTGGGATCCAGATCATACCTGGAGAAAATGGCCTCAGGGGCAAAAGGACCTGGCAGAATGTGTGAGTATGAATCTGGTGGGTTCTTAGAACTAGTGGCAGGAAAATTAGATCATGGTGACTTCACAACATGTGACTGAATGGGGCAGGGAAGTGGAGATTTAAGGAGTCATTTCAGAGAGTTAGACATTGAGTATGCTTGCCAGGTACAGCAGGACATCACTTAGTGTAATGTGCTATGTGTGGTCATGGTTTTGAAATGACTCCAGCCAGTACAACTATGTGATTTTCTCCAGCAACACTTAGCTGCTTTGAGTGGAGGTGCAAAGTAGGCAGTCAGCTGGGGGAAACCAAGGTTGAGATTTTGCCAGATAAGGGAAATGCACAAAGAGATAGCCAAGGGCATCAAAAAGCATTTGCAAGAAAAGAGTCATAGTAGTATATGGAATCTCAGCTGGGTAAGAGAAGTGAAAAGATGGGGGAAGCAAGAGCAAGTGACAAATAGAAAAATAAGTAATAGCAGGAATTGGAGGTCTTGATGAAGCTAGAAACTAGCAAGAGTGGGACAGAGAGGGTGAGCAGGCTGGAGGGACAGAGGTCATGATGAGAAAATGAGAGGTTCTAAATGAAAGCGTGACAGTCATTAGTTATGAAAAGGTGGATATGCTTGTCTATGAGTGGTTTCTTGGGAAGGAAGGTGGGCCAGTATAAAAAACTGACTTTATGGGACACTTGGGGGTCTCAGTCAGTTAAGCATCTGCCTTTGGCTCAGATCCTGGGGTCCTGGGATTGAGTCCTACATCAGGCTCCTTGCTCAGTTGGGAGCCTACTTCTCCCTCTGCCTGCTGCTCCCGCTGCTTGTACTCTCGCTCTCTCTCTCTCTCTCTCCTCCCACCCAACAAATAAATAAAACCTTAAAAAAAAAAAGCAACCTGACTTTATGACAATCATTTTGGATAGAAATGCCATTAAAATGGTTTTTATACCATTCCTCATATTATTGAAGCACACTAAACATAATGTTTCTTGTCATTATAGAGCTATTAATATAAAGATTAACATATTATAACATACATGGTAATTCCCTTAGTATTTCCTGATTACTTTGCTCTTACAATAAAGAATCCCAGACAGTCATATTTGGAGCCCTGAGTCTGCTTTTTAGAGTTTTCCTGTTTCTTCCTTTTCCCTTTCAGGCAGAGTAGCCTCGAACCCGGACTTCTTAGAATTCACTAAAATGTCCCTGAGTGAGGGGGTCTGTCATGAGCACGCTAGGAAGGCTCACACACCAGCTATGTCTTTCCACAATGTAAGCTGTGTTCAATCATAAAGCAGAGTTAAATTACAATTACAAAACAGGTTCAGGATTCCAAGCTCAGAGACATTGCACGATGGGATTAAACTTGGCTTCTTACATGGCACACAGAGCAGGACAGAAGACAAGCCATAAACACATAAGGTAACAAAAGGGTGCAGCAAGTGAACAAACCAGGGTCAGTCTGGGGGCATGCAGCTGAGGTAAGACTTCAGGCTGGTCCAGGTCAGCTCTCCACACTCACTGCTTCTCATGTTCAAGCAGGAAAGGATCCCGGTTCTGTTCCAAGATCCATCGGCCGGAGCCTTCGGTGGCAGCTGCCTTTTTTTAAGTGGTCAGATGTAGAGCAGTCATGTCTGAGGAGTCTGACAGTTTGCTGCCCAAATCTTCCCCTTAGTAAGGGGATTTAATAGGTTTCAGGCCCCCACAGACTTCCTCTGTTTCTGCTCATTATCAGTTCTGGGGTGTCAGCTGACATTGGTTCCAAAACCTCATAGGTGCAGTACCTCAACTGTGCTGCTTGACACAGGCCCCTGCTTGACATGAGAGACTCCATTTTGCTCTCTACAGGGTCTTAATGGCACTACAGTTGAAGTCCATGAACTCTACCAAATCTGGGTTTCTTAGGTGACATTCACTGGCTTCCTTCCTTCCCTCCGGTCAAATGAGGCTTTATTCTCTGAAGGGGAGAAAAGGCACCAGGATCAACAGATGTCAACCTCTCAAAAAAATAATAAGCTTTTATTTCTAGCAAGTGGATTCTGATGGCATTTGACAAACTTTTCTATTTAAATTTCTTGTGCTTAATTAAAATATGTATCTTGCTTTCTTCTTAAGGAATAGCCATTAAGATAGGAATGGCCCTGGATTTCAGTTCAAAGTTAAAACAGTTCTGATCTATCGTTTAAAGTAATTCCCATTTGAAGGACATAAAAAGTTATAACTTACCCCTCCACTGCCTCCAAGTATTCTTTCCTGTGTGGCCTTCTTCATGTATCAAATCAGTTATATAAATCACTGCTTTACAAAATGCAGGAAAGCACAAATTAAGAATATTCCAAATAGCCACAGACCCCACCAAATCAGATATCTACCTAAAGGGGAACAAACCATGCATTTACTTTGTTTTACTCCACCTCCTTTTTTTAAAAAAATGATTCCAGACTTTTTTTTTTTTTTTTTTTTTTTTTACTTAGACCATTTGAAAGCATCTGTCCAACATCCCTTTGTCCTGTAATCGTTATATAAAAACACAGGTGACTCTTCTGACGAATCCAAACCCCTTCGGTACCTCCTGTACGGTCCCCAAATGTGAAGAGGGTGTGCTCTCCTTCCTTTTCGATAACGAATACTGGACATCCTCCCACAGCCTGTTTACAAGCGCTAACTGCTGGGACTTAGTAAGATATCTTACTACAAAGACGCTTTCAGAAAGAAGACCCAGGCACTCCATTACATTTTCACAAATGCTACTGCAGACGTAGGAGATATGGACGGAGCTGGGAGGGAAGTAATTAAATGAAAAGGTTATAGCTGAAAAAGAAGTCGGGGCGGGTGGGGGGAGCAGAACCCTGGGAATAGCAAGAGATAAGCAGCCAGAGGCATTGGCCTTTTCGGAACAATTTTAGCACAAAAATGTTTGGCCATCAGCAAAGGCTGTTACTTGAGCTTTTCGCTTCTGCTGGGGACGGGCCGATTTAATCACATCAATATAGTTTTTACATGGATGGTTGCAAAGATCTTCAATTTCTACATATTTCTCTATGGGTTTCTACCAACGCATCATTTTTTCCTTTGAAACACTCACTCATTCATTCATCCATTCATTCAACAAGATTTATGGAGGCCCTGCTATATGCCAGTCACCATTCTAGGTGTTACATACACAGCATACCATAAACGGCACAAAAATTCTTTGTCCCCATGGCTCCTGCAATCCAGTGGAAAGACAAACAATAAACATAGTAAATCATTCAATTACAGCACAATAGAAAGTAATAAGAGCCATGGAAACAAAGTGGAGAAAGGGGGGAACAAGTAAAGGGAGCTGGGCCTGTAAGGGCATAAATTCAAATAGGCCTGCTTTGACTGTTCTTCCTGAATTATCTCTAAATTGCATGGTTAAGTGAAAAAAAGCAAGGCGTAGAATGTGACTAGTAGGCTGCCACTTGGATTTTTTAAGACTAAATAGATATGTTTTTATATGTATAGCCTGTCTGTGAAAGGAATCCAATAAATCATCAACAGGGTTGCCTCTGGGCATGAGAACTCAATATCTGGGGGAAAATGCTTTCTAATGCACTGCTTTCAAATCTTGAATTTGGACCTGTGCATCATTGTCTCAAACATTTTAATTAATCCTTTAAAATAAAGTTTTACACAACCTAAAACAATCTACAGTACTGAAATCAACTATTTGGCAAATAATCTATATATATATATATATATATATATATATATATAATAAATCATCTATATTTGGCCTTTCCTTACCAGCATGATAAAGTTCTATAGTTATTTTTAAGGCAATCTCAAGGAAGAAAAATAACTCTCAGCAAGTAATTGATCTTTATAAACAGTCAAAAGTATGCGGGGAAAAAAAATGGCCTCATATTTTCATTATTCTTGTCCTTTTCCTCCTGTGATCTACTTTACACTCATTTCATTGCAAATTCTGTTTGAAAAGAACAAAGGATTAAGCAACATTCACTTTTTTTTTTTTTTTTTCAGTATGTGACAATTCAACAATTCAGCTAACCTTCTTTACTGGCACAAGGCACAGCTAAGCTCGCTGTACTGGATACACCTTTACCAATAATATTTTCAGTACTAACAGACGCCACCACCCACTGTTGATACATGACTCTCCCAGCAGCTTGGCAATCAGCTTCTTTACCAGGAGACTGAGATAAAGCTTATTTTCAGTTTTTGAATTACAAAAGAACACCTCTCTTAATTTATAAAAATACATATCATTTATCAAAAATTGCATTTACCAAAACATTAACTTTGCTTCAATATTTCATCTCTTCAAACTTTGAAGATCTGTTCTTAAAAAAAAAAAAAAGATTTTATTTATTTATTTTAGATAGAGAGAGAGTGCTTGCACTAGCAGGGAGAGGGAGAGGAAGAAGCAAACTGAGCTGAGCATGGAAACGAAGGCAGGACTCAATCCCAGGACCCCTGAGATCATAATCTGAGTGCAAATCAAGAGTTGGATGCTCAATCCACCGAGCCACCCAAGTGCCCCTGAAGGACTTGTTCTTTGATTATATCATGGCCAAGTGACCTCCTCTGAGTTCAGCAGGTGCGGCTTAGGCCACATTCAGATTTCTCTTGGGGAAGGTCTGTCCATAGCTCTGCCAAAGAACCACAGACCCTGTGACTCAAGAGAGTCAGAGACTCAGATAGAGAGGACAGGGATTCCTTCCCCATTTCCAAATCCCAGAAGTAGCTGCCCTTTACCTCTAGTTGGTGGCCTTTTAAAGTATGATGATTCACTCATCTCACACACTCAACTCTTGCACTTTTACCTGCTCTGGAGTTTCACAGAATCAGGTTCCTTAGGGCAGGTTTTATTTTTAAATTCTTTATTGTCATTCCTGACATCATCGCCTAGCCCAGTCTCCAATATTGTCAGTGTCTGGCATATTTTCCCATCAGTGCTTTTCTTGGGTAACAGGTAGGTGGCAAAATGTTGTTTGGTTTTGCTTCCTGTTCTGTGTTGGCAGGAATCCTAGAGATTGGTATAGTAAATAAATTCAGGTCATCAACCTGGGTTTAGCCCTTCACAGTTTCACAGTTCGGAGGGGAGAGAAGGCGGTTCTATTAGCCCAGTAGAGTAGGAAAGAAGTAGAAAAAGAAGATGGCTGGGATAAGAAATTAAATTCACATATCTACCAAAAAGTAGTTGTGAAACCTCGGGCAGAGATTATTCACTCAAGTCCCAAATCTGTTACAAGAAAATTCAGAAAGTTGGGGTTTTTTCCCCCCAAAACAACAAACGTCATCCTCATCCTGGCTGTGCGGTGTGATGAAGAGACCTTAGTAGGCGGTCTGACTAGAGAAGCCAGACTGCGCAGGCGCCCTTCTCATCCCACCCAGTCCCACTTTGTCAGGCAGCACCGCACAGCTAACAAACACACAATTACTGACACGACTCAAAAGCCCAGGGTGGAGAACCTCTTCGGTGTAGAGTTTCAACAACTTCAGAAATCTGTCCCTTCTCACCTCTTCACCCTCCTTTGCATTGACTGGCTTCTTTCTCAGGCTCACTCTTTGCTCACAATGACCTAGGTTTACCTTCCGGCAGCCCCACAACCTTCTGCGAAGAGCAGGCTTCCTTCTGAGTACTGATTGGCCCAGCCTAGGTCACATGTTGTCACTGAACCAATCACTGTGGACAAGGCTGTGTGTTTTGATTGGCCAGGCCTAGGTCACATGTCTGTTCTTGAAACCACCCCCCTAACTCTCAGGGCTATCTCTTCCCCTTGGACCTCAGGGGCTGCAATTGTGCCAGGGTGTGTTTCAAAGGAAAATAAAGATACGATTAGAAGAAAGAAAAATGGATTCTGCAAGGCTAGGACAAGAAGTCAGTGAGGCAAACGAGGGGCCTAAAATTAAGGTGACATTCATTTTCTGGTTCATGGAGGTCTATTTTGAGAGTGAGCCCCTCCTCAAATTTTGTGTCCTAGGCTCCCTATTTATCTCACCCTAGTCCTGACAAAATACTCACTATACCCGTGTCCAAAAATATTTCCCAGAGTGCCTGAAATCTGTCCCCCCTCCATTAGAGATTTATTTCTTTGGACAAACCAGAAATCTCCAGGAATCCTTCAGTTTTGTTTTGTTTTTCAAAAGCAGCTAGAGGACAAATCTTAAGGTCAGTAAGAGTTTCTCATATACATGCTAACTATAGACTATCAAGTCAGTCACCTCCAGAGCCGGCCCCCTTTGTTGATGTGTGATGCACTGTAAGGAGAGGCCTTGGAGAAGGGAAGAGGAGTGGTCCAGACCTGAGACTGCACAGAAAATGGCCCCTAAAGAGGAGAAAAATGACAAAGAAAAGGAGATACGAGGTTAAAGACATTATTTCATTCATCATTTAATACTGGACCTACGCCTACTTGATCAATTTTCCTAAGTTCTGCCACATAGAGAAAGGGAGAGAGCAGGCTGGCAAGTGACGACATGGTAGAAGAGACTCAGGACAGAGTAAATATGGAAATTTCTAAACAGGAACGCTTTGGTGTGCGCAACATCTGGGAAGGCTTATCTGGAGTTCTGATGATAAGCTTTCAGGAGAAGGATGAATTCTGCCAACAGCAAAGCCTTGGGTCTTCAGGTTGCTGGCATCTTTAAAAGTTTAATTTTCCCGACAGCAAGGAAAGACTAGGAGAGTTATGAATTTTGTGTCCCTTTAGGACCAAGGGAAAAACCAATCTTTAAACCACAAGATAAATAAGCCAAGCACCTCTTAAGTTTAGTATTAATAAAGACAATTTCTTGTATCCTTTATATTCCAGTAATTTCATCTTCCCTTTCTGGGACTCTGGTTGCCTTTGGCAAAGAAAAGAGCTTACATAACTAAAATATATCTGCTTCTCATAAAAATTGGCTTTTAGAATTTTTTGCCCACCCGAAAATAAGTGTAAAAAACAATGATTCTGTTATTAGTTGGGGGCTGCATTTGGGAATATGATTGTTCATATGTCAAACCATCATGGATCCAAACACCACCCAGAAACCAGAGTTACCCGGACCACAGACGCAGCTACATGCTCCTGCTCACAGATAGGTCCTGGTGGTGTCAGTGTGGATGGCTAGATGCCAGCAACCTTGGGATCTGATAACTCTCTTCCCGTTTTTAGAGCAGGCTTCTGTATAAAATGGCTTCCTCCGGATGTGTCTCCAGGGAAAGAATGTGATGGTTAGAATGTTCGATGCCCTCAGCAACTATATTTTCACAGTAGTTATTTCTTTTATAGTCCACTGACAACAAACAGATCAGCATTCTGGTTGTAAGTATCAAGTTCAGTGTGCTAAGAATCAAGTTTCTGTGCCCCAAGGCTTAAAGTCAGCTGTTAGACCAGGGGCAAGTAACCAAAACCCTGTTGATCAACCATGAGGCCTCTTAGGGACACACCAAGAAAGAAGGAGGCCTTCTTTTTCCTAGTGGCAACTCTTTCTCTCACCCTCTCGGTCTTCAAGCTGGGAAAATTGACGCTATAACATCAATGAATATCCCTTCAAGTTCTTCCTCATCCAGATGAACCTTTTACAAAATATAATTGACAGTAAGTCTATTAATGAGTGCAATAAATCCCGAGTGCCTATGATAAGCAAGGCACTGTGCTAGGTGTGGTGAAGACTCGCAGGCTGAAAAGATACAGTGTCGGCCCCTGAATTTGCCATTCAGGAGAGGAGATACAGACACAATAACTCTCTTAAGAGTCAAATCGTCCTAACTGCCGTACTGGAATTATCAACTACACTGTATGGAGAAAGGAAAGTTTAATTGAAACAAGAGGTTTAGAGAAGACTTCTTGGAAGATGTGGGGTCTGAGCTAACACCACAAGATACTCTGGGGAGAGCTGCAATTCAGGCCAAGGAAGGGTTGGCTCAAAAGTGCTGGGAACCGGACTCCCTGTGGCTGAACATCTGGGTATTAGCGAGTAGGCCACGGAACTTAAGACCAGATGGCTGGGCAACAGCCAGACTGGGAGGACTCTAGGTTCTAAAATGCAGAGTTTCAGAGTGCAGGGGTGCTTTGCCCCACAGGTTATCATGGTGAATTAAATCTTAAAGCCCTCTGGGCTATAGCTTTTGAGTTCCTCCTACAAAAAAGACATATCAATCCAATTGCACATATATAAAATTATGCAATATATACTATTAAGTATATTCGATATTATATAGATGTCTATCAACAATAAGGTATGTGCATCATCATCCCTCTCTTTCATTTGGCTTGTTTCTTTTGAACCATTTAATCTACCTAAATTAAAACCTCCAAATCCAGGATCATCCCCGCTACGGGCCCCAAGAGAACCCAAGGCTTCCAGACAGAGGAGGAAAGATGTCACCTCTTACGGCTGAATTGAGACAAAATGGCAACGGGAGAACCACCTCGAAGCCTAGAGCGGTAGTGTTTTCGCAGTTACTCAGAGCTGTCTGGCTTCTTCCGGAGAGGGATCCGCCTCAGCCACAGCTTCCATCTGCCTGAAATGCACAGCTTCCAAGGACTCTGGGGAAAACCCTGGAAAACTCTCGCAGGCTGACAACATCAACAACATCTGCAGCAACCGCAGCAGTAGAGCACCGGAATTTCTAGTTCTTCCAGTTGCCCGGGATTCCCACTTTGAACTCTTCCTGGAAACGCTTTCTTCACCCCTTATCTTGCGAAATCTAGCGGGCCCTCCCTCCGCTCTCTCCGACCTCTTATAGCTGCGAGAGGCGCCACCCGCAGCTCTGAGCTGAGCCGCCGCTGCGCGTGACCCTGGCCGCCTCGCCTCTCAAGCACTTCCCAGCAGGTGGGTCCCGTCGCCGCTATTGCCTCGTACCTTTCGCCACGCTGCCCCGCTCCCTTCTCTGCTTTAGCCCAGCTCGAGCCCCTGCTTCCAGGACCTCACTCCCTCGCCAGCTCGCAGCGGGAAGGAGGTGCTGGCAAACTCCCTGCCGCGCCCCCCCCCCGCGCCCCTCTCCAGGAAAGGCCATCCAAGGGTGTCGCGCGATGAGTTAAGCAATGCAGCAAGCATCTAGCTTCCTGGAGTTTTCTCGCTCATCTCTACCCGAGGGTGCAGAGACACCCGAAGGTGGAAGGCTTAGAGTTTGTATTACTCTCTGTGCCTTACTTCTCGACAAGAGCAATCTTGTGGCGCTCACCCAGAAGGGAGCCTGGAAGAATGTGGTTTTGGCAATCTCCGCAGTCTCAGATCTTCACCACGAGCTGAAATTTGTCCTGAGATCTGCAACACTTCCGTCCTTGATCTTGACTTAAAAATCTCCTTCTGAAATCTATCGATTGCTTTTCCAGAGAAATATCGTTTGAAAGTAATTTATTGTGAAGAATAAATACAGCCTGGTTTCCCTTGTTTGTCCAGAAGCAGCTAGAAGGTAGTTCTCCCCCCACCCCCCGCCCGTGGTAATTTAGGAATTTTTTTAAAAAGATGACTGTAATGAATGTGAATTGGATGGAGAGTAGGGGAGGGAACTTGAAGAAGTCTATTCCTAAGTCTAACTAGCAGTTCACCACCTCTGCCTCCGTTTCCACGTTCATAAAACAAAAGGCTGTTGGACCAGATGATCCATGCAGTCCCACACTCTAAATCTAACAAGGTGAAAATCCATGACCAAAGATGCTTGCTGGTTTGAAACATACTGAAAATCTCGTTAATGCAATAAGTATAACCAAGTGATTGCTTTCTTCATAATAATGCAAGCTTCGTTTTTACGGGGATAGTACCCAGTTGTGGAGCATCTCTTCGCACACAAGTATCTTAGACATCTGCCACATTTATTATTCAGAGAACACGCTCAGCTTTCTTTTTTTTTTTTTTTTAGGGTTTTATTTATTTATTTGGCAGAGAGAGACAGGCGAGAGAGGAACACAAGCAGGGGGAGTGGGAGAGGGAGAAGCAGGCGCCAAGCAGTGAGCCCCATGCGGGGCTGGATCCCAGGACGCTGGGATCATGACCTGAGCCAAAGGCAGATGCTTAACGACTGAGCCACCCAGGCGCCCCTACTCTCAGCTTTGAAAACCATTCTTCCGCCATGCTATGTGAGAATGTCCTATTCCGTATACATGGCAGTCATATAAATGTCACTCACATGAAAGAACATTTTTTCTGATACAGTAGGTGTAATTTTATAAAATGGCACATTTATTTGAAGCAGTAACTTTTTTGAGATACGGCCTTTTGCAAGGCCCCGAGTTTTTCAGAATGCTGTGATTTAGCACAGAATGAAATTCCACCTGTGTGTATCCTACCTGCATGGCAAACATTGCCAACCCAGAAAACGGGATGAAGCTTTCTTTCCCCTATTTATCAGGCTTCGGGGTTGTAAAGTAAATGGTACATGTGTACAGAGAAATTGGGTCATAGCACTTTCTCCATCGGCAACATTTATGGTCCTGCTGAGGTTCATATAGAAACTTCAGGTTCAGAAACTAATGTGTGTAAGACCTAACCCCTAACTTGAGAATAATTTCCTGACTTGTGCCTGGCTTAAGCTTGCTAACTGGTGTTAGAAGTAGCGAAATACATTTTTATAAGCCTATTAATAAATTGAAAACCCTGGGCCTTGAGCCTTGTTCTGCGCAGTTTTAAGAAAAATAGATCCATATGTCAGAGAATTTTAAAATTGAAGCAATGCTGGGCAGTCACTTTGCTCTTCCCTGTCTCCTGAAGGACCACCCTTAGTCACTCTACCATTGTTGATGCCATTATTAAAAGGAAATAAATTCTCCTTTTAAAATCTCCCAAGTAGCTGATTCTGCAGTCTCCCACAGAAACACAATCCAATGTTTCATGATCCTCACCATCTGGTCCTCTTTGTAAGTCATTCGGATCTTTTGTCAACTGCTATTTAAAAATCATTTCCTTTTAAAATCTTAAGAAGACTAAAATCTTAAGAAGACTTAAGCCACTGTCAAATTTATGTACCTAATCACCTTTCAAACTTGAAGACTTGCTAGGGTATCTTGTACCTCGTTTCCTCTGGGTTGTCCTCCAAGAAGGTGGTCATTCGCTATGTGCCTGCACCACATCTACCTGTAATTCTTACTGTGAGACTCTACACAGGCTATGAATTATGTAGTTGTCTTGGGGGGAGGGTTTTTTTGAAGTTACAGTTCCTCAAGAAATGACAGAAATTAGACTTTACAAAGACAAGAGCTCTGAAGTCACCTCTTTGACTCTGTTCTTTGTAAATCCAAAGAATATGAGTCAATAGTTAATGATTAAGACTTTCTGAACAGTTCTGCATGATGTGTTAAACCTACTCAAGAGATTTTGAATGACTTTTAGGACATTTCCGAAATGTTCAGAATTAGCAGTTGTTCTTTTGTTGACAAGAAATCACTTCTGGAAGGAATAAAGCCAAGTAAGGATAATTAACGCTCAAAACAATGCATGATGGGGTGCCTGGGTAGCTCAGTTGGTCAAGGAATGGCCTTCGGCTCAGGTCATGATCCCAGAGTCCAGGGATGGAGTCCCACATCGGGCTCCCAGTTCCAGGGGGAGTCTGCTTCTCCCTCTGACCTTCTCTCTCATGCTCTCTCTCAAATAAATAAAATCTTTTAAAAAAAGCATGATAAGAAAACATACTTGGCCTATATACCTAAACAATTTGTTCTTCCAAAATCATTAAGGAAAAGAGAACAAAGATTGGGTGTACTGTCTGAAGATCATCTTTCAGAAATATATCACTGAAAAAAAAAATGCACCACTCTACCAGAAGTATTTCCACTCTAACTAGGCAGGACATTGACACCCTGATCCAAATGCTTCTCCACAATAAACTCCCATAAGAGTTTATTACACCACGTGTGAGATTCTTACCACATTGTACTTTGACAGTCACATATTTCTACAAACTGATTTTGAGAGAAATATGTTTCTTTTAAACGTAGATTGTATGAACCATCCTAATGCCAGGCTGAAGTAAAGTCCACTTTTCAACTTAAAAGGAAAAAAAAATGTGGCAAAGGGTAATTTTGAAAAGTTAGGAATTATAATTTTAAAAAAAGAAAGAAACTAAGAGGTAGCAATGTCACTGCATATCACATTTCATAGGTTATTAGAACACAAACTAGGTAGTCTCTTTTGCCTGAGCGCCAAATACTGAAGGGAGAAAAATCGCAGAGGGTTCCAGTCAGGTCTCCAGTGATGTTGGCACTAATGCTGGGAATCCAAGGTGGCAGTTAACAGTCCATGCTGATTCTGCATGTTTCACCTCGACCTGCTCTTTTTACAGAGTGTGAAAACAGCTTTGAACCCAAGTTAAACAGTGGCTGAAGCCATTTTGCACAGACCTTAGTATACTTTCTTGTCCTGTTTCCCAGGTAAATTAGTTCCCATTCTTTAACATGGGGTCCACTGTGCACCTTCCTGTGCTTGGGTCCTTACACACCACATTATAGCAGTTTGATTCTGGGTCTACATCCTCCCCAAGCCTGGAGCCCGGCACAGTGCCTGGCACAGACAGTCTGTTCACAAAGTTTACTGAAAACATGAAACCCCACCAAGATATTGATCAAACTGATTCTGAAGTTTGGAATACATGAACCCTCATGGATGTAGCAGGTTATGAGCCCGGATGCCCCCTGTGCTGTACTACCTAAGGTCAAAGTGTCCAGAGTTCAACTGCTTGCCATTTGAGGAGAAGCATGAGCTTGCTGTGTACTGCACAGTACATATAAAACAAAGAGTGGGAATTATTATTTTTTAAAAGAAAGAAGAAATTGGCAGGAACCTTAGTGTTTCCTCTCATTAACCTTAATTTTAGTGACCTTATTATGTTGCTATACTGGGTAAGTTTCATTAAAAAAATTGTAACTATAATACTTTAGAGTCTAATTCATTTTAAGGAGTGATATAATATGATTACAGCATTTAACTGAGGTCATGAAAATTGGAATATTGAATTCTTAACGGTTTTAATTAGTTTAAATTAAGTAAAACATGTTAACCCTTCTTTAATACCTGAAAGCATGGCATAAGATACAAAGCCTAGTGAACAGTTCAAAAGAATTGTTATACCAAGTCATTCTTATACCAAAAAAAAAAAAAAAATGGATTATGCTCCCAGTTATTTCTTCATAGGAAAGGAAAGGATGTTGAGGTGAAAGCAGTTCACAGGTTGGCAAATGGTTCAATTCATTTAATGATGAAAGGTGCCAGTTGCCTCTAGTTTTCCCAAATTGTGATCCCCAATTGTGCATTCTTGAGGCATATCTGGAAAATGGGAATGTATGTGTTTGGGGATGGAATTCACAAAGATGTTCCTGTTTCTGTCTCTCCAAGGAAAGCAGGAGTCTAGAAGGATCAGATTCACAGACAGCACTGTGTTCATTCCATGTGTGGGGCAGAGAGGGTGTGGACCCTTTGCTGGCGTAAGAGGGAGCCAACATGGACCCTGTTTTCATTAAAGCCTAGGAGCTTTCTGAGAAGGGAGGCCCCCAAGGAAAGAGATTTAGGGCTAAATTGCAGACAGGACTGGAAAAGTGCATCATCCTATCAGCCAAATTATTTTCCAATTTCCCCGGTCACATGCCATTCTTGAGGAGAGGGGATAAGAGGGAGGGAAAAAACCAGTGGAGTGCTAGTAAAGGACTCTCTAAGGGGAAAAAAAAAAAATGTCCTGATTTATAGCATTTGCTGATTCCCGTGGTGTGGAAACTCCCACCATGGCTGATTTCAAGACTTCACCTGGCAAACCAGTCTCCACCCATACCATTAATAAGAGCTGAGATTGAAAACCAAGGAATTTTTAAAAGGTGCTATCTCATTAAAGAAATATTTTAAAAACT